GGTTGGATTATCTTTATTCTATAGACACCACCCCACGCTCTTGTATATTCTTTTTCCGTTGTTTTGAAACCACTGTGAAAGTCGAGTCCTCTTTTTTTTTTTTTTTTTTTTTTTTTTTTTTTTTGCGGGGTGGCCCTTTTTTTTAGTTTCGCCACTGCTCTGATGAGTACCTAAACAACTTTTGGGGAAGGCAAACACGGCTAGTATAATCCTAAACGGACTAACCCTGCATATGCAGTTGTTGAATAAACAGGTGAACTCTACTCCATCTACCCCATTGACGGTCAAATCCAACAGGTAAACTTCACTTTGTTTTATTACTCAGGTTATGGTAAGAAGAAAGCTGAGTACGCCAACGCCGCACACACGCTCAACTACACAGGACCGCAGTACGTGGCTGATATGTTGGCTGGGCTGTACCCCAACCACAGGGACAAGGTGACCATCTTGGACATGGCTGCTGGCACAGGTAGACGTTAGCACCTGAAATGTCATGTCACATGAAATGTCACATCAGCTGAATTGTCACATTAATGTCACAACACGTAACATCACATGAAATATCACCTCAGATAACATGTCATATTTCTTGAAATGTCACATTTCTTGACTTAAAGTATCACATCACCTGAAATGTCACATCGCCTGAATTGTCACATTAATGTCACAACACATGTCACATCACATGAAATATCACATTTCTTGACTTAAAATGTCACATCACCTGAAATGTCACTTTTGAATTTGTCACATTTCTTGAATTTATCACATTTTTTAAAATGTCACATTTCTTGAAATGTTGTCACATCACATGTCCCATCAAATAAAATGTTATATTAGATGAAATGTCACTTTTCTTGACATTTCACATCACCTGACATGTCACAACACATGAAATGTAAATGTCACATCACATAAAATACCACATCACATGAAATTTCACAAAAACTAAAATGTCACGTCAGATGAAATGTCACAATAGTTGAAATGTCATATTTTAAAATATTTGTCATTGTTCTAAGCTTTGGGTTTAGCTTTAGCGTTAGGTTGGTTTTCTCGATAATTTTCATTACGTATACAATCAGTTTTAGAATGCTTTATTTAAAGCTTACCAATAGAGTCACAAGAGGTGCTAGGGGTAACAAGTGGCACCACAAAAAAAAAAAAAAAAAAAAAAAAAAAAAAAAAAAAACAGTAAAAAATTTCCTAAAAAAAAATCATTTTTTAAAATCAGCAGCTAATTAGAATTAAATACGACATCAAGCCAAGATTGTTTTCATCCCGCAAGAAAGCGACTACGGGTGTGAATGAAAGACACCAAGACAAATATGGGGTACTTGCGCAGTGAAAATTGTCAAAATACAGTACTCAGTGGCATGGCACCGAACACCAGAAAGATGGGCGGGGGAGGGGTATACCTGGAATTAACAGTCCGGACTACACCCTAACTAGTGACGTCACTGGGGCCTAATACAGAAAAAATTGTTTTTTTACCAACAGGTTTTGTAGGAGAGGAACTGCACAAACGCGGGTTCGTCAACATACACGCTCACGAAGGCTCAGTCGAGATGTTGGAAACGTCACGAGAAAAGGGAGTTTACTCTCACTTCCTTCTCTGTCTGCTTACAGAAGAGAATGGTCTCCCTTTACTCAGTGGTAAATATTTGTTAAGTTATAAAATGTGTCGAGCCTTTCATCAATAGAACCAGTATCAACGTTTTGAATATCCGCGGGCTCAACATCATGTGAAGGTAAAGTTCTCTTCCAGGCATCTCTTCAGGCAGCCGCCCCCCCACCCCCCCCCCCCCCCCCGCCACCGGAGAAAGTCTACCGCACCCCCCCCCCCCGAACAAAATGGAATTTATATAGAAAATGTATACTTTTAACAGTGTCCGCCGCCCCCCCCCCCCCCCCCGAAAATTTCAAGTGCCAACCCCCCCCCCCCCCCCGCCCCTGCGGAGAAAAAAGTCTGGAAGAAACACTATGCGATTGAAGTAGAGTTCATCTGTTTCTGTGACCTCTGTTTCTTGAACCCGGATTCGAACTCGAGACTCTTGTGTAGCAGTTAAACGTTTTCACCATCTCTCAAAATCTTTTAATGGCATAAACGTATTAAAATAAAATATTTAACAAATATAAATTTTGTTATAGCAGTCGCTTATCTAAATAAAATATTTAACATCCAATTATTTTAAATTTAACTTTAAGAAATTATATATATATAGTTTTTAATAGCAGATACGTATTTAAAAACTCTTTAAAAATTTAAAAAGTTTGAATAGTAGACACTTAATAAAATTCAATCATTAACAAATTTAAATCTTTTAATAGCTGACACGTATTTCAATAAAAAGTTTAATGACTTAAAATCTTTTAATATAGAGACACGTATTAAAATAAAACATTTAACAAAGTATAAATATTATTAAAGCAGTCGCTTATCAAAGAAAATCTTTAACGAACACTTGTTTAAATTTTATTTTAACACATTGAATATTTTAATGACAGACAATTATTTAATTAAAATCTTTAACAACATTAAATCTTTTAATGACAGACAATTATTTAATTAAAATCTTTAACAACCTTAAATCTTTTAATGACAGACATTTATTTTAACAAAAAGTTTAACAAAAATAAATCTTTTAATGGCAGACACCTACGATGCTATATCGATGAGTGGTGGAGCTGCTGAAAACCACCTCCCACCCTGCGCTCAGGAGGAGTTAGCTCGTGTGATCAAACCCGGAGGGTAGGTAACTCGTATTGTAAACAGTAGCTACTTCAAGGGAATTAACGCATGCCATCATTAGGTAGCAATCAAGCCAGGGGAAGCAACTACAAAAATATAGTGTTTGTGTTATGTCTAAATGTGAAATAGAACATAAGAAACATTTAAATGAGATAAAAACATAAACTTTCGCACTTTTGCGACTGACCACAAATTGTGTGGGTATCAGTTGGATTGGGAGGAGACTAGGAGGAGGGGGGGGGCTTGGAATGATAGACAACATTTCGACTGGACATTTTCTGATGTACATTCTCTGCCTGTAAACAATGAAGATATTGATATTCTGAATTAAAATGTTACTGTGTTTAAATTGAAAAAAAATACGTGTATGATTCTCATGCCTATTGTGCCATTCATTACAGTAATGAAATTCAGGAAATGTATGACATTCACGAAATTTATGAAATTTATGAAAGTTATGAGATTTATGAAAGTTATATCATTGATGAAATTATAATATTCATAAAAATTTTGAACGTTCATGAAATTTTGAACATTTCCGAAATTTAGAACATTTGTGGTATTTATGAAATTCATAAAATTTCGCACACTTGTGATATTTATGACATCCATACAAATTTATGACATTCGTGAAATTTATGACAGCCATGCAATTTAGAACATTTATGAAATTTAGAACATTCAGGAAATTTAGAACATTCGTGAAATTTAGAACATTTATGAAATTTAGAACATTCAGGAAATTTAGAACATTCAGGAAATTTAGAACATTCGTGAAATTTAGAACATTCATGAAATTTAGAATATTCATGAACTTTATGACATTAGTGAAATTAATGACATTCATGAAATTTATGACACTCGTGAAATTTATGACTCTTAAAATTTAAGAAAATTAATGACCTTGATTAAATTAACAACAGGTATTTCGTGAACTCGTATCGGGCCACTCTACTAGCCAGCGACTATGGTAAACAATGGGAGGAAGTGGCCAAGAAACTTGAGGACAATGGGAAATGGAAGATGTATGGGCGCATGACCTTCAGGAACTACAACGTGCTTACTGGTGGCATCGTTGATATTTATAAAGTCTTATAGTCTTGTAAGAAAATAAAATGTTTTTTATATTTTTAAAAACAATTGATCTTCTGTAAAAAAAAAAGAGTTTTCTAAAAGATTGGTATACAATTAATTGGATTTCATTAGAAACCAATCGTTATTATTTTAAATTTTATATTTCCTGCTTAGTTAAAGTATGAAATAATGGTTTTAGAGAGATTTTTTTTAGATTCCTCCCCCTTCCTCCCCCTCCCCCTCCTCAATCTTGCTAGAGGCACCCCACGTCTTTACACAAAAAAACCCAACCCAGCATCTAAACCAACGTAAGAACGAAAAGGTCTAACAATAATCTTTTGACAACTTTCTTATGCCAACCCACCTTTGCGACAAGGGTACATCGTCACAACAGTAAACGTAAAGATGCGCAAATGAAAACTGCGCAACTTAAAAATGCGCAAAAAAGGGCGCATGAGCATTTTTGTTTTTGTTTTCTTAAATCAAACCTTTATAGACATTCGTAAATAATGAGAACATGCAAAAATTAGCATAATAAAAAATGTCTACAAAATATCATAAAATTAAAGTGTATTAATATAATAAGTTTGTATTTGCGCCTTTTTGTTTGTTTGCGCAATTTTCCATTGCTCAGTTTTCCGTTTGCGCATTTTCTGGGAACCTGTCACAACAGAAAGAGACACTCTTCTATCTATCTGCAAGAGTTCAATCATGGACAACCCTATCCCCTCTTCCCCAAACTCATATCTAGTCCTTACCCAATACTTGGTTTAAAACGTTCTTACCTTTGCAAGCAAGAGTGAACTAGAAATGCTGATATGAAGTTAAGTGCTGTGTATTTTTTACAAAATGATAACACTTACAAAAAAAGATTTTCTTTTCTTCTACAACATAGATTTAGGAAATAACTTTAAAACAACATTTGATCGCCCTTCATTCGCTTACAAAATGTCACTGGATGGCATCAATATGGTGGTCTTGAATTATGGTAAACAAACATACTAAATCTACATTATAACACCTGTTATTTACGTTCAGTGTCTACCAACAATATATATATATATAGTATATATATATATATATATATATATATATATATATATATATATATATATATATATATAAAATTCTTTATCTGTTTCACTTTTGCTTTCAACGGTTAAATACATTTAATTTTAATGTCATTTTCCGTGTTATGAAAGTGAATTGTTTTGTTTCTTTTACATTTCTATAAAAACAAGTTAAATTATTTCCCTGAGCACTGATTTAAGACAAAGTTTTGAACATTTTGATGTAAATAAGGGAGTATCCGGAGAAGAAGTGTGTGGAGGGGGGGGAGGGCTGAGGTAGAAAGTATGTTGAGTTATAGTTATGGCCTTTGATTTTTAGCTTTTTGTAATTGTGGTTGTCCTGGATGTTAAAATTCGACAAAATTACATAAAAAAATGGCCGATATTTCTAGTCTAGCTCCCTACTATAACCTAAATATTATATCTATCCCGTTCCAAATACTTACCACGTAGTGGCGTAGGCAGATGGGTGTGGGGGAGGAGGTGTCATGAGTGTGATTAAATATCTCTTTGGACCTCTTAAATGAATGATGTCGTACTTTAAAAATTCTAAATTTTGAATGTCTAATGAACATGAGGGTTACGTTCGTAAAATTATATATATATATATATATATATATATATATATATATATATATATATATATATATATATATATATATATGTATACACACATATATATATATATATATATATATATATATATATATATATATATATATATGTATACACACATATATATATATATATATATATATATATATATATATATATATACATGGTAATACAGCTTTTGAACCCCCCCCCCCCCCCCTTGAACCCCATGACCAATTTTTGCCTACGCAACTAACACCATTAAAAATAAAACCACTGCTCTCCTTTAGATTTGTACACCACTAGACTAGACTGTTGACGTGCTAAAGATTGGCTGAAGCGGTGATGGAATTTATTGTGGATTATTTTAGGCGCCAACGTAGCTGGTTGTTTGTTTATCATATTAAGTTGGAATTTGAAGCGTTCAGTGATGATAGAGCTTCCATAATCAACAAGCAGTTTTAAAAACTGGGTTAATTAAAAACGTGTGCAGACAGCTTGGGAACAAAAACATTACATTATGACGTTACTAAACTAGATCAGTCAAGTTATTTCAAGTTGAGTCATCGTTTCAAATAGCGTAATATCACTGTGTTTATCATAGTGATTCTTTTAGAAAATCAAATATAATTTCAAATCTCGTTACGAAAGAACATAAAGGTGAATCATCTTTTTTAAATGACTGAATCATATATTGCTTAACATACAAATTTCTGAAGCAAACATTTAGTTTGAAGCATGTCTACTTTCTTTTTAATAAACAATAATGTTTTTAGGCGGTTTCATTTTTAGCAGCAAAAAATACGTCAAAAAAAACAATTAGCTGTTTTTCAGCCAATCTCTAACACTGGAACGAACAGTCTACATCTTGGACCACATCTCAAGATAATATTTAATGGATTTAAATCGCAGAAAATAACATTAAAACACACATTTGTTTCAATTATTTTCACATTTTTTAATGGAATCTTTAACCAATAAATGGAAATACCACAATGTGTATAACTAGTGTTAATTTTAACAACATTCTCGTATTTTTGCATTTATTTAATGTGTACAACGAACATCATGCTCATGTTTAGACAAAATATATTTAAGTTAATAATATAAAATCTTGCTTGCATAAAAAAATGTGTATTGTAATTTTAATAAATCTGCTTTGATAAATAAATTTGAAGTAAATATAAAGTTTGTACTTGTTTTTTATTATGTTTTTAAAATCCTGAGCTTTTTAAAAAGAAAAACAAATCTTATCTTTAATTAATACAGATTGCGGTCATTTTTCTTTTAAATTAAATTACCATTACGACGAAAGAAAATGAAGTTTAGTTTATTTACTTTTGTAAATACAATATTATAGACTATTGCAAGCTTTAACAGTTGTTCTCGCTAAGAAATCTATTTCGGAATCATTGCATTAAAAAAACGACTTAAGTAAAAATGATCTTACAACTAGTTTCGCTAGTATGTGCACAATCTGGATGTTATTAACAATTACCTCATATGCTTTAGATCAACAAGCAAACTGCAGGTTTGAAAAGTCGTTCAAGTCCTTTGGGTCACGCTGTTCTACGAGAGTATTCATTCAAATCAACATCAACTGTTTCATAACATGTCACAAAAAAAGTAAAAAAAAAAAAAAAAAAAAAAAAACAACCCCCCCCCCAAAAAAAAAACCCAGACCCTTCCCCCTATTACCCCTATGCTAAAATGAATTCACAAATTTCTGTCTATAAACATTACTTAATTGTATCGACGAGTTTACACATATTTTATCATTTAAAACTAAATACAAGACTGAATAGGTCGGCCTACTAAACGAAATCTACGAAGCTCTCGTTACATATCATCAACACTGTGGCCTCTCATACCCACCCTTGGCCAGCCGACGACCCCCTACCCTCCCACCCTCCCACCCTCCCCCCCCCCCTCCCACAATCGGTTCCCAGAAAAATGCGCAACGGAAAATTGCGGAAACAGAAAAATACGCAAATACAAACAATTCTTTAACTTTATTATATTTCGTGGAAAAATCTTTGATTATGCTACCATGTACATGTAGTCATTCTTTGCTAATAATGGATTTAAAGAAAATATATTCCCCTTGCGCACATTTTTGTGCGCAGTTTTTCGTCATTTTTTGTTCTGTTTGCGCATCTTTGTAGTCACCGCTCTCTGTTTTCCTAACGTGAGTCAGGTACTTATCAGAGCTGGTGGACTAAGGGACGCTCTACTGACTTGAACCCGGATTCGGGTTAGCAGCCTAGCTTTCTACCGCTAGGCCACGCCGTACCCATTTCGTTGTACACATATAATGCAAATCGTGTAAAATCCACCCCCCCCCCCGCCCACCTTGTCTAGAATGACAAACACCTACAGTTAAATCCCTAACAAAAAAAAACCACAAATTAAAAACAAAGTTTATTTTGGAGTTGACTTCATTCTAGAGCAGGGCAGTCACGATTCTATGACTAATGCCATTTTAATTAGGTGCACACTAATTAAAACAGTGCAGATATTTTAATTAATAGATCGTGGGTCGACTAAAACGGTTATCTTTTTATTTTGTTTTTTGTTGTGATGCGAAAGATGACGATCAGCTCAAGGGTAAGGATTTTTCTGGGGTCAACTGACTTTTTCTTCGTGGGGGGGGGGGGGGGGGGGGGCACTTGAAACTTTTGGTGGTGGGGGAGGGGTGAATGGTGCCGAATTTTCTGGGGGGTGTTGGGCACTGTTAAAATTATATATTTTCTATATACATTTTAACTTCGTTCGGAGGTGGAGGGGCGGTAGACGTGCTTCCGTGGTCACTGCCCCCCCCCCCCCCCGAAAGAAAGTCGTCTCCGGTTTTAGGAATAGGGTGATACTGACCAAGGCTAGGATAAAAAAATTGGTTTAGGTTTAGGATCAAGTTCATGCTCTTGTTGATCGATACTATGGGAGTACGGGGTTCATTAAACATTTTTTTGCAGATTTCAATTTTCACACATTTAGCTGTTAATTAAAACAAACGCGTTTAGCTAAGTCTATCATTGCCTGCAAAGTGTAACATTATCTGTAATGTGTAACATTAACCGAAAAGTGTAACATTTTCTGTAAAGTGTAACATTACTTGTAATGAGCAAAATTTAATGGAGAATCTTTTATGCAAGTGTAGTGAAATCACCGAAAAAGAGAGATCATCTTGCTACATGCAACGATACTTAACTTCAAACTTGCGCTTGGTCGGCGTATATGAATATTTATTGAAGTTGCACAACAAGATACGCTGTTTAGTCACTATCAATGAGCTAATTACATCCTTCAGGAATTGGTCGTCACACCGTGAACTTTCACCTTTCAATGTAAACAAAATGAGTTCATTGTTACTTAAAGGGTTAGGGTGCCCCAACTTATTAAATTAAGTCATCTCCCCACCCCCACCCCCCTCCTCGCCCATCAGCCCAACCACAATTACTCTTCCCATTACAACAACACAAGACCTAACAACAATTTTGTAACTGTTAATCTCACCCCCCCCCCCCCCAACTGCAAGCCCTCTCCTTGACCCTTTATTATTAAATAATTACCGACGACACCTCGCGAGCCAACGGAACTACATCACGTGCGCGCCAATTAATTATAAAAAAAAAAACTAATTAAAGACGAGACATTAAATAAAACAACAAGCCATCACGATCGACAGCACTAAGGACTGAACACCTCTAGGACAACTGACCCAGTGTTGGAACTCGTCGGCAGGGATGTAGGCTACACAGTACAGGGCGATTTCAGACATGAATCGTCTTAGATTTTTTGTTTTGGTTTCGGTTTTACTTCAGGTTGAGGTGATATTCTTATAATTCAATTACAAATATTTAGAATTATGTGCATTTAAGTTGGGCAGTTGTATAGAGATAATAGTGTGTAAGTTGCTATAAATCGTCTTAGATTTTTGATTTCGGTTTTACTTCAGATCGAGATGATATTCTTATAAAGCAACTGATGTGCTTTAAATATGAGTAGTTTTACATACAAAGTGGTGTGGTTGTGGCTATAATAGTCTTAGGTTTTTGTTTCGGTTTTACTTCAGATCGAGGTGATAATCTAATAAAGCAATGTTATTAAATTATTAAATTATGTGCTTTTAATATGAGTAGTTTTACATACAGAATGGTATGGTGGTAGGTATAATCGTTTTAGTCGTTTGTTTTTGGTTTCGGTTTTACTTCATATCGAGGTTATACTCTGATCATGAAATTTTAACTTAAAATTTGTGTGTGTGCTTTTTAATTTTGTTAGTTGTATAAGTTAAGTAGTGTGTTTGAAATTATGAATCTTAGACGTTTTTTCTTTGTTTCGAATTTTTTTTTCACATCGAGATGGTATTCTGATAATACAATTTGTTTTAAAACGTAGGTGCTTTAAATTTGAATAGGTGTATGCCTATTTACAGAACATTGTGTTTAAAGCTATGAAATGTCTTGAACGTTTTTTCTTTGTTTAGGGTTTTCTTCAGATCGAGTTTATATTCTGATGATATATTTTAAAAAAATTACCAACTTTTAAATTGGGAACTTGTTTATATAAAGCATTAAAACAGTAAAGCTACAAGGCGTCTTAGACGTTTTATCTTGGTTTAGTTTCACATCAGACCGTGGTGATAGTTAATACATTTCTTTTATTTTTAATAATGTGCTTTCTATTTGCACACAACTGCAGTGTAAAATCTTGATTTATAAATGTGCTAGTGTCTTTACTCTGATCTGAACCCTGCCTTGGCCTTAATTAACAACATAACCTTGCCCTGTCTCTGGTTTTAAACCTATCGCTGTCGTGACCCTAGCCCTAAACCGAGCCTTGTTTTCATGTTAGTCCTATAGCTAAATTTATCCTGAACCTGGTTTTAAACCTATCGCTGTCCTGACCCTAGCCCTTAATCTAAGTGTTTCCTTACCTTAGTCCTACACCTAACCATGTCCTAACCGAAAATCTTAAACCTAAATTTGTCCTGAATCTAGCCCTAAACCTAAATCTATTCTGACCTTAGTCCAAAACCTAATCATGAATCTAGCCATAAACCTAACCCTAAACAACACCAACATAATCCCATCTTTATCCCCATCCCCCGCAGTCATCATCCCCTAAAGATTTGAGAGTCTCCCATATTATCTGGTTTAAACCTCCTTTCTTCAGGTCTTACTTCTCGGAATAAGCCCCACCCACGGAGCGTCCACCAAGTGCACATCCGGTTCCAGCTGTCCGAGTAATTTGATCTGCCAGGGTGGACAGTGTCAATGTCCGGTGTCAATGTATTACCACACACCTTCTGAACAGTGTGTTTTAAGTAAGCATTTATTTAAAATTGTGTGAGTTGAGGAAGGTTTTTTTAATTATTTTTTTTTAGTTCAGAAGATTGTTTATTTCAAAGGTTAAAGTGGTTGTCTATATTCAGATGCACACACTATTAGGGTTGGTTTTATTTCAAATAAGAACTATAGAAAACTAAGTAAAAAACTATTTTAAAATCACAAACCGCCTACATTAAAAAAACTCATATAATTATCATGAATATTATGGTATCAACAATTAATTTCTGTCTGATTTATTAAGTATGATAAAGAATTGAAACCACTTTTCTAGAGAAAATATATTCTTTTTTTCTTCTTATTTAATTTTGTATAAAGATACATTTATTTTATTGTGAAAGCATAAATAAAGCGTTGTTTAGATCTACTTTAACATTTATAGCAAAGTCCCTTAGCCTTTCTCAGAGGCGCTTAAAAACTCAACAAAACATTGTGGAATAATGACGTTCTATTAGAACTATCGGATCAACCTTGTGAACGTTGGACGTCTATGAGTTCACCCAACTCTAATTGGCAGGGCATAGTGCTGAAATGTCAAGAAGCATATGAACTCTACTTCAACTGCTCAATTGATTGCTAGGTCTAAAGAGGAATCTTTACTTTTTTTAATTACTTCTTACAAGAACTACCACCTATCCCTCCAAGTTATTCATCATGTTGGCCTATACCCCCCCCCCCCCCAACATTAAAAGAGTAAAAGGCCACTGCGAAATTACGCTGGCAAACAAACATGAACCTACGATATTTGAACTTTGACCCCAGAATGCTCCTCCATGACGAGCGAGACAGGAGGTTACGTCACGAGCCCTAACTACCCGAATGTTTACCCTAACAACACGTACTGTGTGTGGATCATTAGAGGCCAGCCTGGAACCTTCATCAGATTCAGGTAACTAGATAGCACTTCCATCTTAGTTTAGTATACAAGTCTGGCTAGTTCATCAAATTCAGGTACCTTCGTGCTAGATAGCACTTCCATCCTAGTTTAGTATACAAGCATGTCTAGTGTAGTACTCAAGTCTGGCTAGTTCATCAAATTCAGGTACCTTCGTGCTAGATAGCACTTCCATCCTAGTTTAGTATACAAGCCTGACTTTTTCATCAGATTCAGGTACCTTCGTGCTAGATAGCACCTCCACCCTAGTTAAGTATACAAGCCTGACTTTCTCATCATATTCAGGTACCTTTGTGCTAGATAAGACCTCCATCTTAGATTAGTACTAAAGTCTGGCTAGTTCATCAGATTCAGGTACCTTCTTGCTAGATAGCATCTCCATCCTAGTTTAGTACTTGTCTGGCTAGTTCATCAGATTACATAAAAATTTAGTAGGTCTATTATATCGTTTATTGTATTCAGGCATGGCCTCTTAATCTAGTGCAAATCGTATTACTGTATCCTCCCATAGACCGGGATGATAAGTATAATAATGTGTCTATTAGTGCTTTGTGTTTTTTTTGTGTGTCTTAACTCTTCTGATTTGTTGTTTCGTTATGAATGTATAAGGGCCATTTTTTAAATTAATATCCCGGCCTCTTGGACACAGCTAGTCCACCCCTTTTTTACTTGATGTAGACATTTCATCATAAGCAAATAAATCCCATCATTTACATCTAAATCAATAATCCATTATTTACCCAATCAATCACCATTAACCCATAAGTAAACCATTCATCCTCCAGCACATTACAGCACTACATACTCTCTAATTGAGTTGTCGCCACAGTGTATCAAAGTCTCGCATATTTCATCATTTGCTAATAAAGCCCATTATTTACATCTAAGTCAAGAATCCATTATTTCCCCATAACCCTCGGCCCCATGAGTAAATCATTGATCCACCAACACACTACAGCACTACACACTCTCTAATCAAGTCGTCGCCACAGTGTATCAAAGTCTCGTATATTTCTTCATTTGCTAATAAATCCCACCTTTTACATCTGTCAAGAATCCATTATTTCCCCAATCACCTTCGTCCCCATAAATAAACCATGTACACATTACAGCACTACAGACTCTCTAATCGAGTCGTCGCCCCAGTGTATCAAAGTCTCGTATATTTCATCATTTGCTAATAAATCCCTTTATTTACATCTAAATCAAGAATCCAATTTTTCCCTAATTAACCTTCGCCCATAATTAAACTAATTATCCACCGACACATTGCAGTACCACTGACTCTCTAATCGAGTTGTCGTACCAGTGTATCAAAGTCTCGTATATTTCATCATTTGCTAATAAATCCCTTTTGACATCTAAATCAAGAATCCAATTTTTCCCAAATTACCCTCCGCCCATGAATAAACTTTCTATCCACCGATACATTTTAGCACTACCGACTCTCGAATCGAGTTGTCGCCACAGTGTATCAAAATCTCGCATATTTCATCATTTGCTAATAAATCCCATCATTTACATCTAAGTCATGAATCCATTATTTCCCCAATCACCATCGGCCCCATTAATAAACCATTGACACATTACAGCACTACATACTCTCTAATCGAGTCGTCGCCACAGTATAGCAAAGTCTCGCATATCTCATAATTTGCTAATAAATCCCACCATTTACATCTAAGTCAAGAATCCATTATTTCCCTAATTACCCTCTGCCCATGAATAAACCTTCTATCCACCAACACATTACAGCACTACCGACTCTCAATTCGAGTTGTCGTACCAGTGTATCAAAATCTCGCATATTTCACCATTTGCTAATAAATCCCATCATTTACATCTAAGTCATGAATCCATTATTTCCTCTATCACACTCGGCCTTATTAATAAACCATTGATCCACCACCACATTGTAGTACTACAAACTCTCTAACCGAGTGGTCGCCCCTGTTGGTCACTCTCGCTTCTTTCATCATTTGCTAATAAATCCCACCATTTACATCTAAATCATGAATCCATTATTTCCCCAATCACCTTCGTCCCCATGAGCGAATCATTGATCCTCCAACACATTACAGCACCACAGACTCTCTAATCGAGTCGTCGCCCCAGTGTATCAAAGACTCGCTGGAGTTCTTCGACGGACCATCCCCTGACCACCAGTCCCTGGGACGGAGCTGCGGAGACTCCAAGCCCTCGGTCATGTCCAGCGGCGAGCACCTGGCCATCGTGTTCAGGTCTGGTCCCAGGTCCAGGGGTCGGGGATTTTTGGGAAGCTTCCAGAATTACAGTAAGTCAAAGGTGTTTAGGTAAGTCGTTGTTAGACTGAGAATTGTTGTAAGTCAAAGGTGTTTAGGTAAGTCGTTGTTAGACTGAGGATTGTTGTAAGTCAATGGTTTGGATTTAAGTCATTGTTAGACTGAGAATTGTTGTAAGTCAAAGGCGTTGATTTAAGTCAAAGTTAGGGGTCATCCATAAATGACGTCACGCTTTTTTGGGACGATTTTTACCTCCCACGCCTCCGTCACACAAAGCCAGACCCCCCCCCCCCTCCCCTAAAATGACTTCACACCTCAGCCTACACCCCCCCCCCCCACCCTCAAAAATGCTGTTGAATTTTTCAACAACGATATTTTTTTTCAAAATCTTGTCAGAACTTTGTCAATAGAGTATTTTGATAAATTCATATTATAATTTATTAAAGCCGTTTTCTAAAACGCGAAATAACGGCTAAAACTCGTTTTCTAAAATTGCTTTTTTATAATGCAAAAAAATTGACATCACACTATCCGAACCCCCCCCCCCCCCCCCCTCCCCCTCATCACACACCGTCACAAAATTACGGACCACCCAAACCCCTACGAGTGTGACTTCATTTAAGGACGACCCCTTAAACTAATATGAGGTAAAACTAAGCTGTATTATAAGTTAGTAAAAGAAGTTTATTTAAGTCATTGTTAGACTAATATGTGGTAAAAACTAAGTGTTATTTAAGTTAGTCAAAGACGTTTATTTTAGTCGTTTTTTTTAGACGAAGAAGCATTATAAGTCAAAGGTTTGGATTAAATCATCGGTAGAACACTGAATGTTATTGTAAGTTAGTCAAAGACTTTGATTCGAATAATTGTTAAAATAAACCGGGAGTGATCTCCCCTAAACTTAAACCGGGAGTGATCTCCCCTAAACTTTCTCGAAAATTCTAATATAAAATTACGAGGGATGGCAACTCAGGACATAGACAATACTTGTTTTCCATTTTTAATTACTTAAACTTTTTATAATAGAATAGAATCTCGTAAATTAGTACTTCCGGTAAACGGAAATTACTCAAAATTTGACAGAAGGTAGAGAATTAGATCTTTTACTTACGAGTGAAATTTCATGCATCTATCTAAAATAGTACGCAACTTATAGGCTTTTGAAAAATTCAAAGTAGAAAAAGTACCACTTTTGGTTATCGGAAATCGCTCAAAAGTTGATTAAGATCTACGATTTTTATAAAATACTTATATATGAAATTTCATCAACCTAGCTGTAATGGTACTCAAGTTATCGTGTTTCTATGAGATTCTATTCTATTTTTCCCACGTTTTCTTTAACTTGCTTTCTCTGTTTGTTTATTTGTCTTTCCAATCAAATCTTGCGATCGAAATTTCTGGCACTTCCCAGTTAGCTAGCGCGCTGAAATTTTCAGAGAAGCTTTCTTTTGGATGACCATAGGATATGCAATTGTTATTATTACTAAATTGATCAATGGAAATATTTTATTGAGCATTTTAGACCGCTATATAATCTATATATATAATTCTCCTCTGCGAGCCATTAGAAAAACAAGGTAATTAAAAAGTCTAGTGACAATTTTAGCGCAATTTCCTTATGTTATCTAAAAATAGCTCTGTCGTAGCGTAAATCAAGAGCAGGGTTAGTAAAACCATTGGTTAAAATACATGTTTTATTTACAATAGAGTTACATGACTAAAAACCATTGCGCGCCTAGCTACTGAACGTGATGACGCACCATTGAGCGTGATGGCGCAGCTAATGAACGTGATGACGCGTGTGGTGTGGTTGGAAAAAATGCCTACTAATTCGGTCCAAATTTTAATTAATTAAAAAAAAATTTTGTGACCAAACGAAAGGATATTTTTAAAAACTTTCTTCGGCAATATTGTTCTAAGTTATAGCAGGAATCGATTGGTAAATGTTTCAAGTCGCTAAGTGGTCTGGTTGCCGAGATATGGGCCAAAAACTGCTTTTTTTCGAGGTTTTTTGGCTTTTCCGGGAAATCCATGAAAGAAACCCGGAATTTTTATGGCCTATGTTCATCCTCGTAACTTGCTTAACATAATTACTTTTGGAACTAGTCATCGATATTGCTTCGTTGAGGAGGAGATACGACTTAAAGCTGCGGACACACATCCATCCATCCATCCATCCATCCATCCATTCATACATTCCCAGAAAAGACGAGTTAATAAACGCAATTCTCCAGAATGGAAATTGCGCTAAAAACCAGCGACGCGTAGCTCGCGCGCAGTGAAGCGAACGATTCCACGACGCGACAGGCTTAGGGGCAGATAATTTAGTTTGAACCGACTTAAAACTTACAGGAGGTAGGCCAGTTTGGGGGAGACGATATGGTCGAGTGGTTGGGCACACGATTGCTATCCCACTCGACACGGGTTCAAATCTATGTGTTCTAGTCAGTAACGTATTCACACAACGTGTTTTTTACGAGTTGTCTTTTTACGAGTTGTCTTTTTACGAGTTGTCTTCGTTTACCCAAAAAAAGTGAAAAGATAAAATCGATAGCAAGATTTTAATGCAAACAAACAGACAAAGACTAAAAAGCAGAAAATAATAATCATTAAAAAAGTTTTTAAAAACCCACGTTTTCTGATTGAACTAAAAAGTAGAAAATAAACGCTATACATCACAATAATGCAAGCGATCACTTTACTATAAGCGATCAAAAACGTGGGGCGCCGTGATTTTCTTACAGTTTCTAATACTGTTGACTCTCTACAAGCTCCCTAATAAAAGTCAATAGTATTATCTAATCAATAGTAATATAACTTTTACTTCGGCGCCCCACGCTTTTCATCGCTTATAGTAGAGTGATCGCTTGCATTATTGTGATGTATAGCGTTTATTTTCTACTTTTTAGTTCAATCAGAAAACGTGGGGTTTTTTAAACTTTTTTAATGATTATTATTAAAAGTTTAAGTAATTAAAACTCATATCTATAGTTCAAGTTATATAAGAATATTCGAGAAAGTTTAGGGGAGATCACTCCCGGTTTATTTTTTTTAAAGAACCAGATTTACTTATCCTAGCGAGATCATTATGTTTAGTATAGGGATTTAAGTTTGCGTGGGACGACGTGGCCCAGAGGTAGAGAGCTAGACTGCTAACCCAAAAGTCACGAGTTCGATTCAATAGAGCTCAGACAGCAGAACTTTCTTTCTGGAAAGTAGAGGCGGCTGGACATAATGGCGACCACGCTATCAAATAGATATGATACCTATAACACATATTCCAAAATAAATATAAATATAATAACACAGAAGAAAGTTCTTACACAATAATTGAATACAAGTTGTTTAATTGCTAATTAGTTGTTTTTTTTTTTAAATCTTTGTTTGAAGATTGCAACTTGACCCTGAGTGGGAGAACAGGACACGTCAGCAGCCCGGGGACAGGGGCGGGGTACTTCAATAAACTTCGATGTGTCACCACGTTGGTTGGTGACGTGGGTACCATCATGACCCTCAGGTGAGTGGTGTAGGGGGGGGGGGGGCGGGGACAGGGGCGGGGTACTTCAATAAACTTCGATGTGTCACCACGTTGGTTGGGGAGGTTGGTACCATCATGACCCTCAGGTGAGTGGTGTAGGGGGGGGGGGGCGGGGACAGGGTCGGGGTACTTCAATAAACTTCGATGTGTCACCACGCTAGTTGGGAACGTTGGTACCATCATGACCCTCAGGTGAGTGGGGTAGTGGGGGTGGGGGTGGGGACAGGGGCGGGGTACTTCAATAAACTTCGATGTGTCACCACGCTAGTTGGGAACGTTGGTACCATCATGACCCTCAGGTGAGTGGGGTAGTGGGGGTGGGGAGGGGGGGGGGGCGGGGGCGGGGACAGGGGCGGGGTACTTCAATAAACTTGGATGTGTCACCACGTTTTTTGGGGACGTTGGTACTATCATGTCGCTCAGGTGAGTGGTATAATGGGGGAGGGGGGGGGGAGACGGGGACAGGGGCGGGGTACTTCAATAAACTTTGATGTCTGATAACGAAATAAAGGTCTTTGTGACAGTGTATCTAACAAAGCATTGTGGTATTATATAACAAAGTACTGACAGCGTCAGTTGCGGTTGTGTTATACGAAGCCTTGAAAGTGTGTCAAAAAAAGCATTGTAGTATTGTATAACAATGCACTTACAGTGTATCTAACAAAGCATTCACGTTGTGTATAACAAAGCACAGACTGTGCACCCAACAAAGCATTCACGTTGTGGTTAACAAAGCGTGTGTCTGATACTGCAGTTTCTCCAGTTTCGAGGTAGAGAATGAGATCCTGTGTCGGTATGACGTGGTCGAGGTCTACGACGGCAAGATGGCGGATCAGAAACGGATTGGTCGACTCTGCGGTGACGTCACTCCTCCCAAAATAGCCGCCACCTCCAACATCATGTCCGTCTACTTCAGCTCAGACAACAACAGAGAAAAGAAGGGTTATAACGGGACATTTCAAGCTTTTGGTCAGTGTTGTCTTTCTTCAAGTTTCTAATATGAATTTATGTATATATATATATATATATATATATATATATATATATATATATATATATATATATATATATATATATATATATATATATATATATATATATATATATATATATATATGTATATACATATACATATACATATACATATACATATACATATACATATACATATACATATACATATACATATACATATACATATACATATACATATACATATACATATACATATACATATACATATACATATACATATACATATACATATACATATACATATACATATACATATACATATACATATACATATACATATACATATACATATACATATACATATACATATACATATACATATACATATACATATACATATACATATACATATACATATACATATACATATACATATACATATACATATACATATACATATACATATACATATACATATACATATACATATACATATACATATACATATACATATACATATACATATACATATACATATACATATACATATACATATACATATACATATACATATACATATACATATACATATACATATACATATACATATACATATACATATACATATACATATACATATACATATACATATACATATACATATACATATACATATACATATACATATACATATACATATACATATACATATACATATACATATACATATACATATACATATACATATACATATACATATACATATACATATACATATACATATACATATACATATACATATACATATACATATACATATACATATACATATACATATACATATACATATACATATACATATACATATACATATACATATACATATACATATACATATACATATACATATACATATACATATACATATACATATACATATACATATACATATACATATACATATACATATACATATACATATACATATACATATACATATACATATACATATACATATACATATACATATACATATACATATACATATACATATACATATACATATACATATACATATACATATACATATACATATACATATACATATACATATACATATACATATACATATACATATACATATACATATACATATACATATACATATACATATACATATACATATACATATACATATACATATACATATACATATACATATACATATACATATACATATACATATACATATACATATACATATACATATACATATACATATACATATACATATACATATACATATACATATACATATACATATACATATACATATACATATACATATACATATACATATACATATACATATACATATACATATACATATACATATACATATACATATACATATACATATACATATACATATACATATACATATACATATACATATACATATACATTTAGGCATATATATATATATATATATATATATATATATATATATATATATATATATATATATATATATATATATATATATATATATTTAAACCTTCCCTTGCCCAAGAAGGTACCGGAAAATTATTTCTTCTAAAATGCCGTACTACCATGTACCAACTTGACCTGACTATGATAGCATGCAGTGTTTCTTTCAGGCATTTTTTCTACTGTGGGTTAGGTACTTGAAATTTTCCTGAGGGGGGGGGGGTCGGACTAAATATTCCGGGTGAAGGGTGGATACTGGTAAAAGTATATACTTACTATTTAAATTATACGTGGAGAGGGGGGATATATGTTTTTCGACCCCCCCCCCCCCCGAAGAGATGCCTGAAAGAAGCCCTGACAGTCTGTTTGTTCTACAGACTGCAACACAACGCTGACCGCCACCTCCGGCGTCATCACCAGCCCGGGCTACCCACAAGGCTACTTCAACAACCTCTACTGCTGGCTGACCATCGTGGGGGAGCCGGGAACCTTCATCAGTCTCTAGTATCTCACTAACTTTCTTTTTCTAACATTTACAATTGTTTTGTTTTGTTTAAACGTAAACAATAGAGTTTTTAGATCGGTCTATGATGCATAACTAGGCGAAGTAGAGTTAACCTGTTTCAGTAATATCGGCAAATGAAGGGATAGTTGTGTCTGCGCTATGCCCTATTGACATTACTTTCATAAATGTGAGTCAGGTACCCATTAGAGCTAGGTGGACTCAGGGGCCTTATACAGGATCCGAACTCGAGACCTTTGGGTTAGGAACATTCACTCTACCATTCCACCAAACTATTGAAGAGTTGTATATATTCAGACCAAATATTAGGCAGATTTTTTATACCTTCCATTTTATCAACTTAAGCAGTAGTTGTATACTTCCGAAGTCTGCAATTCATGTGTAGTTCGGTTAAAAGTAATTTTAGAATATTTAAGAACGTGATTTTGGAGCGTTATGGTTAAGTATTAGAGCACACGATTTCATACATAAGTGTTGTAATTCGACTCTTAAGCATGAATGAGTTGGGTGTCCACTCAGCTCTAATAGGTACCTTTCTTAAGTCGGTGTATATAAGATCTCCCTTACTGACCACTATTTGTGAGGTGTTTTTTTTAAGTTCCCTCTGTTTACATCGCCTAGTATAAGAGGCATATTTACCTCTCTTATGTTCAGACCTACACAATAAGAGATGCAAATATCTCCCTTATTATAGTTATTTAGTGTGAGATATACATTTTCCTTACCAGTATCCAGTACCCACATTGTGAGACGTTTAGTTTTACTTTCCAGTATTATATAGTTGTATTTACGTCCCTTATATCCACTACCCGCATTGTGATGTATGTATTTACCTCCGTTGGTTTACCTGCCTTATACTCGCTACCAAGAATGTAAAAGATACTATGGTCTCCCTTGTTACAACGATACGGTGCAGGAGTTTCAATTCCCTCGTTAATTTCCACCACTCAGTGTGTCAGAGTGAATTTTCCTCTCTTTTTTAAAACTCACTTCTTTTACCTCCCTTATACCCATTACCTACAATGCGAGAGATATAATGATCTCCCTTGTTACAACTATCCAGTGCTAGTTTTATTTCCCTCCTTATATCCACTACACAAAGTGTGACGGATGTATTTACCTCCCATGTTATACAAATACAATGTCTTAGTTTAACTTCCCTCCCTTATACCCACTACTCACAGTGTGACGGATGTATTTAACTCCCATGTTATACAAATACAGTGTTATATTTTAACTTCCCTCCCTTACACTAACAGTATGAGGGATCTCAACATTGAACAGTGCTACAACTGTGCCTGCGACTACGTCCAGTTCTTCGACGGACCGTCCAACAGCTCCAGATCCCTGGGACGTCAGTGTACCTTCGTTTACGGCAGCGTCGTCCAAAGCTCCACCAACGTTATGAGCGTCCTGTTTTATTCCAACAAGAATTTTACCTACAGGGGCTTTAAGGCCACCTACATCATAAACGGTATGTACATGAGTAACTTTGGGGTTCGGTGGGGTCCAGTCGGTAAGGCTGATGGTTGTTAAAAAGAAAAGTCTTGAGTTTGAACCCTCGGGCAGATGTAGCTCGTTAGCTGGAGAGATAACCCCTAAATCAAACAACTGTTGCCTTGTAGTTTGTTCTTGGTTGGACAAAGGCTATGGAAGCAAATCCAAAAAGGAAAGCTGTCTGAAATCGGAGTCAAAAGCCTCAGTGGCGCATAACACGCACACTTAATTGTGATGGAGGAGATCCCTTCCAACACTACAATTAAGAACGAAGAAGATGATGAGTAATTTTGTACACGTATCTATACACTCTTACACACACAGACATATGCATATATATATATATATATATATATATATATATATATATATATATATATATATATATATATATATATGTATATATATATATATACACGCATATATATATATATATATATATATATATATATATATATATATATATATATATATATATATATATATGTATATATATATATATATTTATATATATTTATGTATATATATATATATATATATATATATATATATATATATATATATATATATATATATTTATATATTTTTATATATATATATATGTGTGTGTGTGTATAATATAATTATCGGCGTCTCATATACTATTAATATTAGAGTATTATTTTGTCGTCCCCCCCCCACCCTCAACCGCCGACCGAGAAAAATGTCTGAAAGAAACCCTGACCTAATGAATGACCTTCACGTTTCAGATCTGCCCTTCGGCTCTACGTGCAGTAACGCGCTACAGTGTGAGATAGGTCTGGACTGTGAGGACGAGACCTGCAGCTGCCCCAGACACCAGTACTACGATATGGCGGCCAACCAATGTTGGGATAGTGAGACATTTTTTAAACTCATTAAAAATATGAATTTGTATTTGAAATAAAACAATTTCATTTAAGAAAAATTTAAACTATTAAATACTTACGTTTAACTAAATTAAAGTTTAAAAAAAATAAATGCAAAAATGTTTAAAATAAGATAAAATAATTTTTCTTTAAAATAGATTTGACTTCCTTTTCAAGAAAAAAATAATTTGATGTTTAACAAAAAATAAAACTTGTTAAGAAACACTTAAGCAAAATATTAAATTCGTAATATAAAACATTAATATCTCTTTAATTTAAAACACAATAGTTCACGCATTTCAAAAAGCAAAACATTTATCTTGCTAAAAAATAAGATAGAACGAGTTGACCCGCGGCATATCATACGCCGCTATTTAGTTGTTTTATTTTCTACTTTTCAGTAATTCATAAATTGTGAAATCGACAGTACCAATGCTGCCACTGAAAATATTTGCTTTAAAACTCAATCAGTAGGTCGTTAAGGACGATACTACCCCCACCCTCCTTTCCCCCAACCCCTACCCTACACCCCCCCCACCCCCGTGAAAGCTGCCTCCTCTTAGTTACCTCCCCTAAGTTTAAAATCGTTTCAAACTAAATTGTCTGCCCCTAATAGCCGTCACTAAACCCGGCTCTACGATTGTAAACATTTAGCGTGAACCACAGCTCACCAGACCATGTAGGGGTGGGGTAGAAGGGAGCGCGCTTTTAGCTTGTTTTCTAGCGTCTCCAAGAAGAGAATTGTATATATAGATTTCACCAAAAAATAATTTTAAAAGCTAAAAACAACTTCCATGTCTAGTAAAAACTTTAAATTTTCACATCTTCGACGTAAGTTAATTTTATCAGAACATTATTATTACGATTCTTTTTGTAGACATGTATTGTACACATTTCGCAAGGTAAAATGCGAAGAAATGCGAAGAAATGCGAAGAAATGCGAAGAAAAGGCCATTTAGTGTTCATGAATTTCTAAAAAAAAAAATATTTTCTACCTACCAATTTTCCATTTATGTTTTTAAAGCTAATTCAATAATATTTATCAACCTCGCTTGTTTACCTCCCTTTTTCTCCCTTGCTAAACAGAGCGCATAAAAGGTTCACTCTGTAACGCTGATGAAGAATGTTTCAACACGATGGTCTGCATCCAGTGGTCTTGTGAGTGCACGGCAGACAAGTTCTATAGCAATGTTACCCTGACCTGTCATAACAGTGAGTTGAATTAAAGACGTAAAGGCGTTGATATACATCCAGCCGCCTGGGGCGGAACACACCGGCTCCCCTACTGGCTACGCCATTTTTCGAAAATTGATTTTTTTTTTACAAAGATGGCATAGATTTGTGTTAATAATAGCTGTTAAGGTTTTTGTTTTTATTAATAATAATGTTAGAGATATAGACATCCCTGAGTCCACCCAGCTCTGATGGGTACCTAACTCACGTTAGGGTAAGTAAAAGCGGCTGGGCATAGTGCTGACCACACTATCCTTTCATATGACGAGGTCACAGAAACAATTGAACTCTACTTCACTTGCCCCGTAGACCGTCAGGTTTGAAAGGGAACTTTACTTTTTTATGTTGGAGATTTATGGGGTGTTGTGGTCGGGGTGTAGAGCCCAAGAATGCTAACCTGAAAGTCTCGAGTTCGGGACCCCGGGCAATAGTCCGTAGGATGACCCTGACTTAAGTTAGCGAAATTATAGGCAAATGGACAAAGGCTGACTACAACCTATCTTGACATGCAAAGGTCACAAAAACAGGTAAACTCTACTTCACCTGCCCCATGGACTTCCAAATTCAAAGAGGGTAACTTTTCAATAAAGCTAGGCCTGATAGCGCTCGGCAGGACTTTAATATTGTGCGTGGAGTAAGCATTGCTTAACTCGTGTTAAAAATACTAAACAAATAAGTGTAAAATTAATGGCAGAAATATTGACGTAGTATTGAAAGAGTTGTGCAGTATGAAAGTTTAGTGTAGTTTCGTCTTATCAGTATTTGTTGCATCTTATGTGCTTGAAACTTAGGGAGGACTAACTAAACTTACACTCCAGTCCCCACCCTCAGGTCGTGATTCACCCTCAGCCCCCACCCCCTGGATTTTTATCACCCTCAGCTCCTACCCCCTCGATGTACATCACACTTAGCCCTCACCCCATGAACGTGCGTCACACTTAGCTCCTAACCCCTTGATGTGTATTCCCTTTAGCCCCCCCCCCCAAGTCGTATATCGCCTTCAGCCCACCACCCCCACCCCATGGTCATGTATCAACCTCAGCACCCCCACCCCATGATCATGTATCAACCTCAGCCCCCGTCCCAGGTCGTGTATAACCCTCAGCCCCCCCCCCACCCCCGGTCGTGTATCACCCTTATACCTCCCCTTCTCGACATTATCACATCACGTCTACATTAACATCGCCCTCAGAGTTGGCTCAGGGAGAGATGTGTAACAACTCAGTACCCGGCATGTGCCAGTCTCCCAATCTCGACTGTGTTCCTGATGACGTAGGTGTGTACCGGTGTTTGTCCGAGAACCAGACGAGAATCCCCGAGTGTCCACGAGATCCGGGTCAGTTTTTGAAGGCTGCGGCCATTGTACTGTACTTTTTACTTCAACTCTTTATAAACTTTTAATCAATTTTTATTAGATATGTTAAAGATAAAAGGAGTTTAAGACATTTTCTTAAGGGTGTGAAGAAGTAAAGGGAATGAATGAAATGGGAAAAGTTTTGAAAAAGTGATATTATGTTTATAAAATAAACAATAATGAAGCTTAATTAAAGGCTGCTGATGTGTACTGATCTCATAGCCTGTCTTTACCCATCCCGTTTTCCATTTTGTAGTCGCTCTAATCACAAAAACTGGGTTGATAGGCTAATCCAAAAAAAAAAAAAATTCAAAGTGAATGGACAGTAGTTTATTTATGAATTAATAATATTCGTTGAAAAGTAATTTCAATTTTTTTTTTTACTTATTCTAAAAAAAAAAAAATAAAAAAAAAAAAAATAACTGCGTCTACCCTGGAATGATGGGTACCTGACTCACATTATGGGAAAGTAAAGACTGCTTAGCGTAGTGTTAAATATATAATGAATTTATTTACTAAGGTCATACAAACAGGTAAACTGTACTATTCTGCCCCTTTGATGGCAAGGTGTAGAAATTGTTAAAAATCTTTCTTAGAAGTGTTAATAGGGATCTATATGGTCGAGTCGGTAAAGCTCAAGGTTGCTAAACCTTAAAGTCTCGACAGCTGGTGACAGTAATTCTTCTAGTGGAGACAACTCTAAAATCAAACTACTGCTGCATTGTAATTTGTACTAGGATAGATAAAGGCTGTGGATATAATCCAAAATAAAAAAGCAGGCTGAAATCGGAGTCAACGGCCTATATGGTATATAACAAGTTGACAAGTAATACATAATAGTGTAGGTGGTAATTCTTTCCAACTTTAAAGTTTAAGAGCGAAGGAGAAAAAGAAGTGTTAATAAATGTTTTATTCGCGATATTTATTTATTTAAATATAAAATTTAATTTATTCGCGATATTTATTACTTTAAAAATTAACTTTAATTTTCTTAGGAGAACTAGAAAGTCTCCACATTGAAGAAAAAGGCACCACATTTATCCTTCTAAAGTGGAAGCTGCTAAACCTGGATCAAAACGTCACCATCAGGGTCAACTGGTCATCTGGTGGGATGACCTCTGTAGACGGGGAGCAACTGGCCGGCCCGACGGGTACCAACATCACAGAACTGACCCCTGGTCAGGTGTATAATTTTACCATTCTAGCGTTGCTGGGAGACGGCACACAGAAGGCGGATGTTTTGGTACTGCACAGTTTTGTTGATGCCATGCGTAAGTTGGCTGGGTTGTAAGAAAGAGTGCTTGAGTCTTTAGACATTCTCTACAAATATATATATATATATATATATATATATATATATATATATATATATATATATATATATATATATGTATATATAGATACAATAATTAAGGTAAATTTATATAATGCAAAAAGGTCTATTTTATATATTAAACACAATATACACCCATGAATATGTGTATGACGTATATATTTATATTAATATGTATATATATATATATATATATATATATATATATATATATATATATATATATATATATATATATATATATATATATATATATATATATATATATACATATATATATGTATATATATATATATATATATTACATATATATATGTGTCTTTGTGTACATATCATGTGTGTATATACCATGTAAATCTATTTTATATTTTCATAAAATACCATACATAAATACATCACTTATACTTATGTGTATACAAGTATATACACACACAAACTCATTAATATATATATATATATATATATATATATATATATATACGTTTTTCCTATGATATTCTCGGCTAAATACAGTTTTGTAGCAGTTATTTCGCAATACAGTTCCAGGCACACCTGGAGGAGACAGCTTTAGCATCAGCCATGTCCCGACCCCTTACACCAGTCATATCCTGACCCCACCCCCCAACACCGTCCTAACTCCTCCCTACACCCTAACCTTTCCCCCCTCCCCTGGCGTGGTGGATCACTACCACATCACCCTCACCAGCGCGTCGACCACCAGCTACCACCAGACCACCACCACCCGACTGGACTTGACCGGACTACGGCCGGACACGGCCCACGGTTACTCGGTCGTCGCTTACAACAGACGCGGGGAGTACAGCCGGCCTCTCACTGGGGTCTTTGTCACGGCGCCGGAAACAACGGCATTACCTTTGGGTATTTTTTTAAAATATCAGTTTGTATTTGTGATTATTGAAAAAAACAACAACAAACTAGCTCTTACATACAGGCATCAGAGTTTTAACTGTCAAATGCATTTATTGACTTGAGGGTTACTAATTGTTACATTTTTGTTTCATTAAAAAAGAGGATTCTGGAAACAACTAATTATATATATATATGTATATATATATATATATATATATATATATATATATATATATATATATATATATATATACATATATACATATATATACATATATACATATTTATATATATATATATATATATATATATATATATATATATATATATATATATATATATATATATATATATATATATATATATATATATATATATATATATATATATATATATATATATATATATATATATATATATATATATATATATATGGGGTCATCAATAAATGACGTCACGCTTTTTGAGGATTTTTATCTCCCCCTCATCACACACCGTCAAAAAATTACGGACCCCCCCCTCCCCCTACGAGTGTGACGTTATTTATGACGACCCCTATATGTATAATCATGTGTGTATGGCAGTGTTTGTGTGTTATTTACACACCAACAGAGGCGTAGCGACCCTTCCCGGCGCCCGGGGACAAACTTTCGATTGCACCCCCCTCAAACTTTCGATTTGCACCCCCTTCAAACTTTCGATTTGCATCCCCCCCTCAAACTTTCAGTTTGTTTTTCTAACCCATTTTGGCGCTCCCTAAGGTTGGCGCCCGGTGACATATGTTCCCGCCCCCGTCCCTCGCCACGCCTCTACATTCCAATGTTTTGACCTTCCAGATATATCAGATGATCACATGGACTGGAAAAACGTGTTCATCGTTGGGATCGTGACTTCCGTCATCTTCTGTCTGGCCATCAGCACATGCTGGTTGACGTCATGGGCGCTCGGACGACGTAGGACACGTGACCAACAAAAGTAGGTCGATCAGCATCATCATTTCCTTTGTGTGTGTGTATGTGTGCCCAAGACACATGGGGTCGTTACAGAAAGCTCCCTCCACTTTTGTCGGTCACCGGCATTTTTCTTGGCAGCTCTCCCATGACAGCCCTGCTTCTGCCAGCTGCTTCCCTGCTATGCGCCTCCACGTCTCCCTTGACCTTCCCATCCCTTCCCCAGTAGGTCGTTGGAGATATCACATTTTGTTTAGATACATAATTTACTTTATCGTATTGTCAATATATTTATCAGAGTTTCTTTCAGTCATCTCTTCGGGGGGGGGGGGGGCGAAAAAGTCCACCTCCCCGCCCTCGAACGACATGGAATTTATCTAGAAAACATACACTTTTACCAGTGTCCGCCCCACCCCCCGGAAAATATTGACCGCCCCCCCCCCCCGAAAGTGTCTTCCCCCCCCCCCCCCCCCGGAGAAAAAAGTCTGGAAGAAACACCTATATTTATATGTATAAAAGTATAAATTATCCAGTTTTCAAATATCAAATTATACAGTAACATACTTTCAAGATATGTAGACGTATAAAGTGACGTATTGTAAATACAAGTATGCAATAAAGTAATTTAAGTTCCCTTTTGAAACGGACGGTCCATGGGACAGGTGTAGTTTACCTATTTCAGTGACATCGGTAAATAAAGTGATAGTTCCTACTGAAGCAAATCCAGAAAGAAATGAAAGTTTTAGTGGGAGGTAGCGGGTCATTTAGCGCATAGCGCATAATACTTAATTATACTAAAGAATATTCCCTTCAGTATTACACTTAAGAAGAAAAAGAGGAAGAAGTGTGTTTATCTCATCATATCAACCCAACTCCCCCCCCCCCAACATAACTTTGATTTCTGTGTAGCCTCATAAATATATCACGCCTAAGTTTATCTTTCTATTTCACAATCTTGTTTTACATAACGAAATTGGTAGACAGTTGTAGCAGTAAAAAAAAAACAAATTGTATTTTAGAATGGAGAGCATCCAAAGCGATGAGAAAACATTTTGTAACGAGTTATCTACGCGGTACTTGGAAGTCAAAGACAATGAGTATGACAAACCCTCTCGAACTGACTACGGTGAGTCGATGTTATTCTTTTTATCCTTTAAATCTATTTTCATTTTACGAGCATATTAATACTGTTAACAATATGGCTCTAAGTTATTTTGTATAACACACCAATGTGTTGTCTAATAAATAAATTAAAAAAATTATTTTCAGTATTAAAAAAAAAATTTTTTGCAGACCTAAGTAAAATTTATTCCCAAAATAAAATTGATTCAGTAATAATTTAACTTTGTATTAATTGTTGTATCTGTAATAATTTAAATTACACTACTTCTCTTCTATGATATTACTTGACGTTTCATCAACTTTGTAAACTCTTATAATTCCCCCCCCCCTTTTTTTTTTACATTTTAGAAAACCAAAATGCTTATAAATCCTTTGTACATGATAAAGATTTTTCCCCAGAAAAATGAAAATCTGAAAACGGAAAACTGATCAAACAGTAAAATGTACAAATACAAACAAATTGTACTAATTCTTTTTAATTTTGTAATATTCTGTGAAAAAATGTTTTATTATACTATAGTGTACATGTGTTCAATCTTTGCTAAAAGCTATAAATGCTCGATTTAAAAAAAAAATCGTTGCGAACATTTTTTTGTGCGCTGTTTTCTTTTACGCAGTTTTCGGTTGCGCATGTCTCCAGTCACGATTAATTTTTTGCAAACTACTTTTTTTAGGTGAAGAGAATCTTTACAGTACAACGGCAGGGACTCCGCAGTGTACAGGCAGGCGAACCAAAAGCTTAGCGAGAAATAAACTAGGGGAAGTAAATCACACGATGACCTATAACAACAAAGAAGAGTTATACAATACAGGGGAGAGAAACGAGTATGTGCCACCTGATACAACGTGTAAACAGGAAGAAAACAAAGAAGACAGGGATGATTATTTAGAACCTGTCGTAAAACGCAATCTGATTTTACAAAATAATTCAATCGATAAAGTTTCTCCAAAATTCAAGAACGATAACTCTAAAATACAAGAAAACAAAGGGCAGGTCAATGAATATATTTTACCAGATTTGGACACTTACTTCACGATAACAGATTCGATGGAGAAGAAAACCGACGACTTGATGGATGAGAAAATACAGGAGCAGAACATGAACAGTGACGTTGTGAAAACAGTCTCTTTAGTGTCTGAAATATATTACAACAAAGAGTCCTCGTAAATTGTCCTTGAAACTGAGAGAATCAGGTTGTTGCTTTATAAGAAACTTTAAGAAAAATGAGGTGTTCGTTATGAAGTATCGATGAACGAAGTATACTAATTTTTGTTGTAAAGAGTATACATTACATTTTTTAATATTAAAGTATCGAAAATCCTAACTTTAGTTAACAAATAGATATTAAAAAATCGATTTCATTAAAGTCGCTCAAAAGTGAGCTCCTAATATGATTACACTCGTTAAGTTTTTTTTTCGTGAAAATCCAAAGCAAACTTTCAAATCAAGTGTTATACTACTTACATAAAATGTAATGTTATAGTTTTAGCTTAATTTTAATACATGCCGTCCATATATAAGGCGAAACAGTTTACTTCCTTTTGTTATAATCTGGTAATGAAATGAAATAGACAACGTTACTTTACATTATATTATTTTAAAAAAACATCAAATGGATGTAAAAAATAGTATACTTTACGGTCTTTGTGTTAAAATAAAGTTTTTTTTGTGTTAAAACCTTAGCATTGAAATTTTTTTAGAGAACTGAAATTCCCCCCCCCCCCCCCCCCCCATATCGCTAAGCGGTAATTCATGTATATTGCTTTATACATATTAGAGTTTTAAATATTACTTCCAAGTACGCTATCGGGCCTTTTATATTATAATATATGCTTATAAATATTTTTGATACTTGGTTAATTTATTTTTTATTCATTTATTTTAAGCTTAGTCTGCTTTGTTTATAAATATTATTAAATATTTCGCATATTTCTCATTGTCTCCAGCCGCATACGCAGGGGGAGGATCCCTCTGTAAATTTTTTTACTGTCATAATACCACTGTTACTTACTTAAATCTATTTCTGAATCAGTATATATGCATAATTGTATATGTATGTTCAGAACCATCATCTAAAAACTGACGCTATGTTCACTCCAGCCCTCCCCTCCCCTACTTCACCACCTAAAACGGGACCCAACATTAATATCACACCAAGGTATACGATTGGTAGGATAGACCTAAAGTGACTGATCTGTTAGTACATTTGGGAAAACGCGTAATGTGGTACCAAAATACCTTGCCGCTAGAATAATAGCTTTTGAAACATGTAAAACTCTTTAAATATTATTTTTGCAATTAAAAGTAAAGAGGTGTGTGTGTGTGTGATCCAACCCATACATTATCATTATTTAAAAAAAAAATGATCTTTAAAGAACACAAAAAACAGTAGCGAATTAGAAAATGTGTGTTCTGAACTGTAAGACCAATGTTTTAGTTACATGTAGCCTATTATTTAAAATGTTCCACCTATTAGATTTAGTTAAAATAAAAAACGAAAAGCGTGGTTTTATAACAACTCTGATTTTAAAAACTTACATTATGCTGTAAGATTTTAGCATTTATGATGACAATATATTCAATTTTTGTAAAAACGAATAAAATAAAGTTTTTTTACTTCATACTAAAGAAATTAGTGATGTGTTTTGACATTTACAATTTATTTTTTTTTAATTAAGAGTGATAATTGTTTTACTTAAACGGCCAAAACTGTGTGTTTTTGTTTCTTATTTCTTCATAGTACTTTCAATTTAGTTTACATCATAGCGAAGCAATTGCACACAGCTAGTATATATATATATACATATATATATATATATATATATATATATATATATATATATATATATATATATATATATATATATATATATATATATATATATATAATGTGAATCCCCTTCATGAGACGATCCTGGCTACGCCATGATTGTCTCCCTTGGGTCATAAAGTAGATGTTACAACTATCACACCGCGGAAATCATCAAAAGAATTAATTGAACTGTTGGACCAATGAACATAATTTTTTTATGAATAATCGAGTCACGCAACATCAGACATATGTCGGGGAATGTCTTCCTTGGTTAGCCCGCCCAAACTGCATGTGCATATTTGATGTTAAGTTCAACATAATTTATGTGTTCATTGGGGTTTGCACATTTTTTACAAGCTTTTATTTAACTCACTTCATCTGTCGTCGCCAGTCTGTCGTCAGTCTAGATCAAAACGCAGGAGTGAAAATTCGGAAACTTCTACTTGAACGATACGATTCACATTTGACACGTGGGTCAAGACATGAAGACAATGCAATCTGAAACTAAATTTGACTTAATTGGATGCCTAATTAATTTTTTATGAATTAATACAAATTTGGACCGAATTAGTAGGCATGTCTAGCCAACCACACCACACGCGTCATCACCTTCAATAGCTGCGCCATCACGTTCAATGGCTGCGTTCAAAAACCATTGCGCGCCTACTGAACGTGATGTTCAGTAGGCGCGCAATGGTTTTTAGTCATGTAACTCTATTGTAAATAAAACATGTAAAGTACTGAAAAAAAAATTCATAAATAAAAAAAAAATTCATAAAAAAACGTTTTAATAACAAGCTTTTATGTAATGATGCACTAAAAAGTAGAAAATAAATTATAGACTACTATTTAAATAACTATAAAGAAAAGCGTGGGTCACTTTAGTATCTATTGGATACCTTTACTAATGTTAAGGAAGACACCCACGCTTTTCTTTATAGTTATTTAAATAGTAGTCTATAATTTATTTTCTACTTTTTAGTGCATCATTACATAAAAGCTTGTTATTAAAACGTTTTTTTATGAATTTTTTTTTTAGTACTTTACATGTTTTATTTACAATAGAGTTACATGACTAAAAACCATTGCGCGCCTACTGAACATCACGTTCAGTAGGCGCGCAATGGTTTTTGAACGCAGCCATTACGTGGTCGTGATGGCGCAGCTATTGATGACGCGTGTGGTGTGGTTGGCTAGACATGCCTACTAATTCGGTCCAAATTTTAATTAATTCATAAAAAATCAATTAGGCATCCAATTAAGTCAAATTTAGTTTCAGATTGCATTGTCTTCATGTCTTGACCCACGTGCCAACTGTGAATCGTGTCGGTCAAGTAGAACTGTCCGAATTTTCACTCCTGCGTTTCCGTCAAGACAGACTTACGACAGACAGAGGAAGTGAGTTAAATAAAAGCTTGTAATAAAAAAACGTTTTAATAACAAGCTTTTATGTAATAATGCACTAAAAAGTAGAAAATAAATTATAGACTATACTATAGACTACTTAACATTAGTAAAGGTATCCAATAGATACTAAAGTGACCCACGCTTTTCTTTATAGTTATTTAAATAGTAGTCTATAATTTATTTTCTACTTTTTAGTGCATTATTACATAAAAGCTTGTTATTAAAACGTTTTTTATGAATTTTTTTTATAAAGCACACATTTCTCAATAGCCCACAAATAACAGGCATTATAACTAATCTCAATCCCAACCTAATAACGAAAGTGTTAATTTCACGGTCAAACGTTGCATATTTATTAAATGAAAATATAACTTCAAACTTATTCGAAGATTAAAATTGTCGTCGGTTGTCGAACACATCACCATGATTCTGTGTAAAGTTCCCAATTCGAACCCGACGGTCCACGGGGCAAGTAAAGAAGAGTTCATCTGTTTCTGTGATCTCGGCAAATGAAGTGGTGAGCACTAATGTGCACTCTCAGCCGCCTCTACTTTCTCTGACGTGAGTTATGTACCCATCAGAACTGAGTGGACTAAGGGACCGCTAAGCCACGGTGTTCCTTTATGAAACTGTGTTGGTCTACTATACTGTGAATGGAGTAAAGTTTGGGACTGATTAATCAAGAGATACTTTTTAATCTAGCGATAAATATCCATAAAACAGAAAACGTTCACAACTGAAGCATGAACTACATTTTAGGCGGTTCAAACTTTTCTTATTACACGGTTCATACTTTTCTTCTTTTATTGGCTCATACTTTTCTTATTACATTAGCTCATACTTTTCTTCTTACATCGGCTCATACTTTTCTTCTTACATCCGCTCATACTTTGTTCTTATACCATCGAATGCCAAAGCGGATATACAATAATAATGACGTCATTGATAATTGATAAAAAGACACTAACATTATCACCGAATTTATTTGTCATTCATGAAAGTATTTGTTTAATTATTAAAAGACAAATAAGAATAACATAATTACGTATGTAAAAAATGCATAAAAATCGTTTTAATAACAAGCTTTTATGTAATAATGCCACAAAGGAGAAAATAAAGGAGTTTCAGAAATATAAAAAAAAACAACGAATTAAATAACTAAAAAGACAAACGTGGGTCGCTATATTATTTAATGAATATCTTTAGTAGAATTTAAGAAGCTACCCACGCTTCTATGTTTAGCTATTAAATAGTTCATTATTATATACTTTTAAATAATCTTTTACTATCTCCTTTTTAGTTCATTATTATATAAAATCGTGTTATTCTAACGTTTTTATGCATTTTATTTTCAGTAATTTAACATTTTCAATACAATAGTGTTGCATGTCTAAAAACTATTGCGCAATAGATTAATATGAAAAATTTGCGTACCATAGAGCGGTAAATAGTACTTTATATAGAACATTTATAATAATTCATACAAACTTAGTTAGGCGTCCAATTAAGTTTCATTTGATGTCAGATTGCATTGAAATCGGGTCGTGACCCACGTGCCAAGTTTAAAACGAATTGGTCAGTTAAAAGTGATTGAGAGCTTCAAACTTTTCAGACAACTGAAACAATCAATTTAGTATAAATTTATATTTCCAAAAAAAAATTATGATTTGATGACAGTTAATGAGATACCCATCCGTCCATCCATCCGTCCATCCGTCCGTCCATCCATCCATCCATCCATCCATCCGTCCGTCCATCCATCCATCCGTCCATCCATCCATCCGTCCATCTATCCATCCGTCCATCCATCCGTCCGTCCATCCATCCATCCATCCATCCGTCCGTCTATCCATCCGTCCATCCGTCTATCCGTCCATCCATCCATCCATCCATCTATCCATCCATCCATCCGTCCATCCGTCCATCCGTCCATCCGTCCATCCGTCCA